TTAACGCATTGAACTATTAAAATGTTCTTCGGTTCATATGATTGTCTTTAGTCAAGAATGGGTCATCTAGGGGCTTGTAGGTGGCGCACTCAGTTGAGTGACCGACTCTTGGTCTTTGGCTCAGGTCATGATCTCAGGGTCCTGAGATTGAGGCCCGTGTCCGGCTCCGCGCTCAGCAGAGTCAGCTTGGGATTCTCTCTCTCTTCCCCCTCTGCCCCGCCTCCCACTCTCTCTCTCTTAAAAAAAAAAAAAAAAAAAAGAATTGGTCATCTGGGTTCCGGCCATATTTACCAAGGAAAAGAACTTCCTGTTCGTGATTGTGGGGAGGTCCAGAAGAAGAGTTCCCAACTCAGAGAACATCATTCTTGGCGTAGGAAATGCTTTCTCCTTCTGTGTTTTGAGTGCTTATCATTTCTTCTGCTGCAGCTATATTTGTAGCCTGGCCTCAGTACCTGTGATATCCTTCAGTCTGGAAAGCTACCGAACAAACCTAAGCAGCTCATTCTGTTATAAAACATATTGGTGCATTTTCTGTATACTTGTTGATATTTTACTGTGCATTTTTTTTATTTTTTGTAAAGATTTTATTTATTTATTGGACAGAGAGAGAGACAGCGAGAGAGGGAACACAAGCAGGGGGAGTGGGAGAGGGAGAAGCAGGCTTCCCGCTGAGCAGGGAGCCCGATGCAGGACTCCAACCCAGGACTCTGGGATCACGACCTGAGCTGAAGGCAGACGTTTAATGACTGAGCCACCTAGGCGCCCCTTTACTGTGCATTTTAGTTGCGTTCTTAAAACCATACTCTTAGAATATGTAGACTAACCTTCCTTCGCCTTTTTAAACATCTTATACTTTTTGCAAAATACAGAAAAATTTCCCCCGACTCCTCCTGTCCCCAGAGAGAATACATATCTGTAGGCCTTACTTGTAGAAGGAGTATATTTGTTCTACAGAGAGCTCTGGGTAAAATCTCTTTATAAGGGTCTTTTAAATTTTCTTCCAGTGGATTTTTTTCTTTGTTTGGAAAAACCAGAAATAATATTTTCAACCTTTGGAAGTAAGAGATACATTTGTAGACGCTAGTCTTCCTGTTTGAACTTAAGGTTATTTGAACCTGGCAGGTGGACAAAGCTTCAGACAATGCCCACTGCCGTCTTGTCTTAGCTGGTGGCCCAACCTCTGCTAAGTCACCCAGGCCCCAAACCTGGGTGGGACCCCTCCTGGACTCCCGTGACACCCTCCTTTCACTTCACATCCAATCAATGATCAAGTTCTGTTGACTCAGTTTTCTTTCTTTTTTTGGTCCTCTTTTGTGCTAGGCACACACTAATGGGGGCCAGTAGTTGGCAAGCCCTTTTGTCTGTAAGACATGTGACACCTGTACTCTGTGGGTGCTTGTGGAAAGGGCTCTACACAGGAGTCCCACAGTTTTATCAAGTTTGCCTACCTACTCTTTGGTTTGCTAGGTGGCCCTGAAAAAGAGATACATTATCATACTAGCTCTCTGTATGAGCTTGTCATTGCTCCATAGCCACCCACAAACTTAGTGCCTTAAACAGTAATTTGTTCTGTATCATAGGGCCCCTCGGGCTTGGCTGCAGTGGACTGACCTCAGCGAGACTTGGCTGGGAGGCTCAGCTGAGCGCCTCTGCTCCACGTGTCTCTCACTCACCTTGGGAGAGCAGCTGCGTCAAAGCAAGCTCTTCTCAGGGTGATGTTGACTCTACCTTGCAACTGTCACCGTCCTAGGTGAAGTCACTACCATCTCTTACCTGGATTAGTGTTCAATCTAACCCTCCTCCCGCAGCCCATAAAAGGTGGTCTCCCTGCATCTCTCCCAATCGATTCCCCCTATACAAACTTCAGCCTGCTGAAAAACTTCAATAGCTTCTTACAGCCACAGGCCAAGGCTCCCTGGGCCTTCTGCAGTGTGTTCCCTGCCTTTTGACTCATCCTTGCTTGCCAGCCATCCTGGGCTGCCTGTAGGTAGTTCCTTGCACGGTGCTCTCCTCCTACCCCAGCACCCCCCCATTCAGGTCTTTGCATATGCTGTTCCTCCTGCCTAGAGAGCTCCTCTCCCTACCCTTTGTCCGGCCAACTCCTCATTTAATCTTCAGTTTAAATCACGCTTCTCTCAGGGAGGGCTTTCTAGACACTCCCCGTCAGCTCCTAGAGGGCCTTTATTTCAGCCTTTGTAACACTCCTCAGACGTGTCCTTTCTCATCCAGTTCCCCTCCTGGACTGCAAGTTCTGTGAAGGCAGGGGCTGCCTTGTTCACTGGTCTCTCCCTGGTGCCTGCACCAGCTGGCTCACAGTCAGTGCTGAATGAACGAAAAGACCAGCAAAAGGGGTGGCAGGGAAAGGTCTGCAGATGACCCAGGATGCTCAGGATCTTGGTTTTCACACCTGCCGATGTGGGGGTTGGATCAGGTGGACTCTAATGCCAGGCAGCTCTGCCATATTGTCCTATCTGCAGATGTCCCCCTAGCTGACCCCTTTGCTCCTGAATGCCGGGTGGCGCTGTTGGTGGTATTCAGGAGCTGGAGATGTTGAATGAAGCTATGGATGAAGGGAGTTAAAAGTAACTGGGGTTGGTGGCAGGGCAGAGTAGATGCGAAGCTAGCTACGTCAGATCCATGATCATCTTTCAGCTCCAGAGTCCAGAGAACAACCGCCATCAGAACAACATAGCCAGGCCTGTGCTTAAGGAAGGCTTCCCGGGTATCAAAGCATGACAGCCAGACCAACCAAGTGTCGCCTCCGGAGCTCTAGAGAATAGCTGTGCTTGGCCAATGGTTTTGTCTCAGAGGTTAACTTGTAGTGGCATTTCTCACTTGCTAAATGCTGACACCGCAAAGTGGTCTCCAGACTCCAGCCCGAATCACTCCTTCAGAACAGCCCAGCACACTAGAGAGGTCTGCGAGGCTGAGTGTGATGTGGGGCTCCAGTGGAGGACAGGGAACACTTAACTATAGAAACAGACACTCCCATGGACACATCACTTTATTCAAAGCTCTAGAGTCCACCTTGGGTCCTCTGAGTTGAGGAGTGCCCAGTGCAAGGCTCTGCCTGCCTCACCTGCGCCTGGAAGACAGGCTCTAGACTGTGGATTTTATGGGACAGGATTCTTTCATGTCTTTCTATATATTCCTAACAGAGTTATTCTTATCCGAGTCACAAAAATTAAGCTGTTTAAGGCTTTGGGCCTGTTCAAGCCCATTCATGGGCTATATTTATTTATTTATTTATCTTTTTGAAGATTTTATTTATTTGAGAGAGAGGGAGAGAGAGAGCATGAGAGGGGGGAGGGTCAGAGGGAGAAGCAGGCTCCCTGCCGAGCAGGGAGCCCGATGTGGGACTCAATCCTAGGACTCCAGGATCATGACCTGAGCTGACGGCAGCCGTCCAACCAACTGAGCCACCCAGGTGCCCCCGTGGGCTTTAATTAACATAAAAGTGACCTGCTGTTATGTCCTGCAGAACGAGCTAAGTTTGCTTGGTCCAATGCCTCTGTGACTCCAATCTGGGTGGGGGGGAGGTCTCCTCTGGAGCGGATACCATGCTAGTAACTTGACACTTCAAGGGGAGAGGTCCAACCCTGGACTTAGGTTTCCAAGTAGCAGCTGCTTTAATTCATTAAGTATAAATCAGAGGTGACATCCATTAGCTAGTCCTTGGACCATATCCTACTGACGCAGAGTGGAAAAAGTGACCCAGAGCCGCACATCCCAGGGTGGGTGACTCTGTCCCATGAGAGTCAGCCGAAGGGGGAGAGCACATTTCCCACATCACCTACACTCCCTGTCTGCTCCGCACTGTAGCACTAACATTGTTTGCGGGGTGGGGGTCAGGTCCAAGACCTACCAAGGTGCCGGTGTACAAGATTATCCATGGGCAAAAGCCTTCTGAAGTCTTAAGTTGTACTGCCAACCAGGAGTACCCTTGTAATCTATTCTGAACGCACAGCAAACTCCACGATCTGGGGGTGAGGAGGGCAGACGTGATCTTTTCACATGGGAGAGCATGAGGGCCCAGACTGTTCTCGCTTGACTCACAGGACTGTAAGAATTAGAATGACAGGGGTCGTGGGTCAGGGGCAGGTTCAGCGACATGGTCATTTTAGAATCTGGAAATACTCATACGAGGCTGTTCCAAACCTCAACACCTTAAGTCATGAATTCACTTAGTGCCTTTTACAAAGGTAAACAAGTCACTCAGATAGTATCTGGGTCCCCCATAAAATCCCCAGAAATCAAGTAAGTTATTTAATACCTTCTTTTTATGTTTTTAGCTGATGTGTTTCCAAGGCTAAATGCATACCAATGTCTTTATTACCTGCGATATCTTCAAAAAGCAGAGTTTTCAGAACTGACTAGACGTATAAACACTAGGGGACCTTTAAAAATGTAGATATAAATGACCATGCCTCACCTCTCACTTACTAAGTCAGAATCCGAGGGGAGGGAAGCGCCAAGAAATTCCTCTTAAAAAAACTCTCCAATTCTGCAGATGCTTATGGTTCTGTGAAGGGAGCTTGGGGAAGCCAGCTTTGGGAGGCAGAGCTGAGTGGCCCTTTCCCAACATCAGCGTGGGCTGGGGGCACCTGGATGTGTTAGACTCAAGGTTAGGATTCAAAGCATTTGGGGTGCGGCCTGAGACTCTGTATTTCCAACCAGCTCCCAGGCAGGGCTGCTGGTGCCCATCCTCAGACCACACTCGGAGTAGTAGGGCCACCAGTCTCCTGTCTCCAGGTGGGGAGCCAGAGGCGAGCCCCTCTGTGGTTGCACTGGGCCCAGCTATAAATTGTGGGATGCACCTTCTACCCTTTTGGCCTTGCCCTACTCCATGCTGCCCTCCAAATCTTGGGGGCCTAGACTTGCCTCCACAAAGGGAGGGCTCAGCTCGGGTTTGGGCCCTCCCTCTGGGTCCCCACAGCCCTCTGCAGGCCCTGCCTCCACAGGGAACGAAAGTGCATTCATAGTCAGGAGCGTATCTGGCATAGGAAGGCTTCGGGAGACAATTCTGTTTATTGTCAACGGAGAAACAGAGGGTGGAGGGGCTCTATACAAGTGGTGGTGAGATACAAAAGAGGAGTGGGGTTGAGAGGAGACACAATAATACACAGCATTATTCTGAACCAGCTCCAGCTCTTCACTCTGACACTTGAATCAAGGAGAGCCAACCACCCTTTTCCACTAAGGCTGCAGAAGAATGGAAACCGGACTCAGTTTATCAGCTCCTACAGGGCAGGCTGAGCAAGAGGCTATTCTAAGCTGATGGAAGAGGCCACTTGTGGTCTGGGGGGAGCCCCCACCCCAAGCGCAGAATGGATGCTGAAGCTGGTGGTGGCTGGTCCCGGCCCCCTAGGTCCTAGGCTTCTCTTGATTCTCAATGATAAGCTTGTCAGTCGAATACATTTGGCCGATGTGCACCTGAAGGCAAAGAAAGACACAGGCTCCATTAGCTGTGAAAGGTCAGAAAGAGCATTTCTAACATTTAAATGCCAAGGTCTGCCATCCCAGGGCTGTTCCTGGTGGGGAACTGCATCGTGGGGCCAAGTGTAGTCACTGGGTTGGCCTTTGCTAATTCCACACCCTCCAATTCCCACTTCCCTCACTGTGAGAACAAGTTAAGAGATCCACACTCCTTCGTTTCTGGTCTTTGAAATGGCACCAGCAGCTGCGGCCTTGGTTCCTCGGGCTGTCCTGAGCCGGCTGAGACCATCCACCAGGTTCCCTGGCTGGTGGCTGGAGAGAGAGCCATCGGACGTGCGCACAGCAGCTCCTCACCGAACACGACCCCCTTCCTTCAGAACCAGCTCTCCCATTTGGAAAGGCTTCACCATAAAGCAGAAATGTGTCCTGCCTATGCTGGGCTAGAACACGGGTTGCAATACGGCTGCCTGTCTGTCCCAGGTGGGGCCAAGGACCGTGGTCTGGGTTCTTTCACCTCCTGCCCCTTCCTTTCCAGGTGTCCTCTTACACTGAGTGTTTCTGCTAGTGCCCAGAGGTTCCCACTGTCCCAGGTGGGTGCTGCCGCCATAACCTGGGGCCACAGCAGGTGACTGGTCCTTCCTTTGGAACAAAGGGTCTTCACGAGTTTTCTCCAAAAGCATTCCCTAAGTGATACTTTCTTAGAACTGGGTACAACTGCAGAAAGGATTTCAGAGCAGTCGGTCACTACCTATGGGTAATTTGGGGTCTTTGTTCTTTCAATAAATGAGGGAGCCTCTCAATGGCTATAGTGGCTGCCCAAAGCAGCCAGGGGTCAGAATCAAGACCCTCCTGTGGTTTTCCCAACTTGCTTTAACAGTCTATTCTATTTAAAAAAAAAAAGATTTATTTATTTGAGAGAGAGAGTGCACGCAGCAGGAGCTCGAATTCTGATGTGGGGGCTCGATCCCAGGATTCAAGGTCATTACCTGAGCCAAAATCCAGAGTCATTAACCCACGGGGCCATCCAGGTGCCCCATCTATTTTATTTTTTTTATTCGCATATAGTGGAGACATCATGTTACACTGCTGCAGGTGTACAACATAATTATTCAACTTCTCTATGTATTACGCTATGCTCGCCCCGAGTGTAGCTGTTGGCATACAACGCTCCATTACAACATTATATTCCCTGTGCTGTGCCTTTTATCCACCTAACTTATTCACTCCATCACTGGAAGCCTGTATCTCCCACTCTCCTTCCCCCATTCTGCCTACCCCCTCCCGCGACCAGCAACCATCAGTTTGTTCTCTGTATTTATACCTCTGATTATGTTTTTTGTTTATTCATTTGTTTTGTTTTTGAAGTTCCACATGAGTGAAGTGATTTGGTATTTGTCCTTCTCAGTTTGACTTATTTCACTTAGCATAACACCCCCTAGGTCCATCCATGTTGTTGCCAATGGTAAGATCTCATCCTTTTTTATGGTTAATACTCTATTTTAAAACGATGGCCCGAGAAAGGGGGAGATTTTGACACTACTAAGGTACAGTGGTGCTCTCTCACCAATGACACCCCGAGAGACCATCTGAACATTCCCATTCTCCCATGCCACTGGTTATGTCTTCGGGCGCACACTTGCACAGAGGTGTCCTGATGGCCTGCGAGCACTAGTAACTCACAAGCATCGCGGTGCCAGGGGAAAGTGAAGGAAGAGGTCAGAGCCACCGAATTATTGAAAAAGAAAGACAAAGTACAGAGTGGAGATTCAGGGGGATGAGGACGATCGTGTAGATATTTTCACTGCAAGTGAATACCTTAATTTGATAAAAGAGAAAGGGGGTGGCGATGGTGGGGAATGAGTGCTCTGTACCGTTCCCAACAGAAGTCAGTGTCTTCAGTCTCCCTTCCTCTTGTCAATATAAAGAACACATACGGCTTCAGATGTAAGCGGGAAGGGCGGGCCTGGGGTTCCGTGGACCACACTCTGCATAACGTAGTCATAAACCATTTTGAGGGTTGAGATTAGCTGGATGGAGAGTCATGACGAGTGGAGCACAGAGGCTTGTCCTGGCCTCCCTTCTGGATGACCCAGAATAGCTGCGGGGCAAGCGGGAGCCATGAGCACCCTTCTCCAGAGAGGAGGCCGAGAAGCAGTGTTCGCCACGCCGGATACTATATGATTTTCAGATGCTAACCTCAACAGACAAATGGGCCCACTATCAACGTTTTTTAGATGAAAGTCTAGTCAGGGAAATCCAAATCAAAACCTCAATGAGATACCACCTCACACCCATCAGAATGGCTAAAATTAACAAGTCAGGAAATGACAGACGTTGGTGGGGATGCAGAGAAAGCAGAACCCTCCTACACTGTTGGTGGGAATGCAAGCTGGTGCAGCCACTGTGGAGAACAGTATGGAGGTTCCTCAAACAGTTGAAAATAAGAGCTACGCTATGACCCAGCAATTGCACTACTGGGTATTTACCCCAAAGATACAAATGTAGGGATTCGAAGGGGTACGTGCACCCCAATGTTTATACCAGCAATGTCCACAATAGCCAAACTATGGAAAGAGCCTAGATGTCCATCGACAGATGAATGGATAAAGAAGATGTGGTATATATACACAATGGAATATTATGCAGCCATCAGAAGGAATGAAATCTTGCGATTTGCAACGACGTGGATGGAACTAGAGGGTGTTATGCGAAATAAGTCAGTCAGAAAAAGACATGTATCATATGACCTCACTGATATGAGGAATTCTTAATCTCAGGAAACAAACTGAGGGTTGCTGGAGTGGGGCTGGGGTGGGAGGGATGGGGTGGCTGGGTGATAGACATTGGGGAGGGTATGTGCTATGGTGAGCACTGTGAATTGTGTAAGACTGATGAATCACAGACCTGTACCTCTGAAACAAATAATACATTATATGTTAAAAAAAAAAAAAAAGAAGATAGTAGGAAGGGAAAAATGAAGGGGGAGAAATCGGAGGGGTAGAGGAACCATGAGAGACTATGGACTCTGAGAAACAAACTGAGGGTTCTCGAGGGGAGGGTGGTGGGGGGATGAGTTAGCCTGGTGATGGGTATTAAAGAGGGCACATACTGCATGGAGCACTAGGTGTTATATGCAAACAATGAATCATGGAACACTACATCAAAAACTAACAATGTAATGTACGGTGATTAACATAACATAACATAATATAATAAAATTAAAATAAATATATAAATAATAGAACTACCATATTGGGGAAAAAAAAGAAGGCTAAAATACCAATTATTTTAAAAGGACAAAAAAGAATCGTTATCTTTTGGGGGGATGTCTAGGTTAATAAAAGTAATTTTATATAACAGCTCAAATGATTCATTTAGCTGGGAACTTGGTTTATATTTCATTGATCTTGGGAGAGTTTAGCAGGAACCCCTCTTAGAAGTGTTGACAATACCATGTTCCATGAGTGCTTGGCTGAGTTTATCAGTGTTTTTTCAGGGCTCTAGTGGCAGGCAGAAGTTATGATACGGCCTAAGGAAGAACTCTTTCACACAGTTGTCGAAAAATGGAATCGGCTGCCTCGGGAAGCTGTCAATACTCTGTAAGGAGGAGAAGGTGAGGATGGAGAAGGAATTTATATGCTGGACAGAGGTGGGACCAGATGGGCTCCTTCCACCTCTCAGCCTCTGTGACAACTTGTTGAGTCACCAGGACCCATCTCAGACACCTCTCAGAGCAGCTGGGTGGCCCCCAAGTGGCTCAGAGTTGAGCCATGTATTCTGATACCCTGGAAAAAAAGGGGGTCTCCTTGATGGACTGTTTGAAGGTCCAGCAGCATATTTATCACACCGCAGAATAAACACATCTCCTCCCACACAACTCACTTTGTGGACACTGTGTTAACAGCCCCCTTCTTGATGGATGGGCTACCAGAAGGACATGGGGGTTCTCCTGTCGTGTGGCCTTTTTCTCCTGTGCTCCTAAACCTCCAGGGATGTGGTGAACATAGTAGTGGTTCTCCTTGTCCACCAATCTAAAGGATGGAAACTTTGGGGGAGGGGTGCTCTCTTGAAAGAAATGCAGATGTGATACGGGGTGACCTAGTTGCAGGCAGCTCCACGTAGAAGGCTCCAAAGAAAACTGAAGAACAAAGAGCAAGGGGAGATTCCAAAGAGCTCAGGTTGTAGGGAACTTCAATCAAAACAAACCTTCAGAAAAATAAAATAAGATGGAAACAGAGAGGGAGACAAACCACCAGAGGTGCTGAACTCTAGGAAACAAACTGAGGGCTGCTGGAGGGGAGGGGGTGGGGGGATGGGGTAACTGGGTGATGGGCATTAAGGAGGGCACGTGATGTGATGAGCACTGGGTGTTATATGCAACTGATGAATCTCTAAATTCTACCTCTGCAACTAGTAATACACTATATGTTGATTAAATTGAATTTAAATAAAAAATTTAAAATAAATAAAAAAAATGAACCAAAAAACACCAAAAAACAAAAACCCTTCAAGTTTGCAGCCCATTTTGACAGACATATGAATTAGATTTTAGAAATTCCATTCAAATACAACACTTTTATGGCTTTTGGGGGAAAATAAGGAATGAAATCAGATCTTACTGTTAATGATGTTAGGAGAGCACACCAATTAATCTCTGTCTAGGCCCCTTGGTCTGAAAGTCACCATCCTTGGGTGGCTGCTCACCCTCCTACGAACCACAGAACTTCTCCCTGACTTCCATGACACTCTGGGTCTTCCAGCTTCTGTCTTTGCTCAGGTTCCTCTGCCAAGAAAGGCTCATTCCATGTCCACCACACAAAAGCCTACCCACCCTTTGAGTGAATGGTTGAAGCTTCCCTGGGGCTCCTGTGCAGAAGGGGCTCTCTCCCTCTCTCCTGGGAGCACTTAGTGCATGTGTCTCTGTGCCTGGACCAGTTCCTCTGCACGAGCCTCAGTGACTCTGGGGAGAAAGGAGGGGCTCACGTACCACTTGTCTG